GTGGCCCCAGGTTGGAGTGTAGTGGCAAGATCTCGGCTCACTGCAACCTCCACCTCCTGGATTCAAGCAATTCTCTTGTCTCAGCCTCCCAAGTAGCTGGGATTACAGGCGCCTGCCACCACGCCCAGCTAATTTTTGTATTTTTAGTAGAGACAGGGTTTCACCATGTTGCCGACCATGTTGCCAGACCAAGCTGGTCTTGAACCCCTGACCTCAGGTGATCCACCCTCCTCGGCCTCCTAAAGAGTTGGGATTATAGGCGTGAGCCACCGCGCCCGGCCTGGCACCTGCTTCTATGTCTCTTGTGGTCCGCATCCGAATCTCTGCCAAATGACCCTGTGGCCCATATCCTATGTCTCCACCTTGTCAAGGGCACATCCGTCAGCCCAAGTTGTTCTAGAACAAAAGAGGTGTGACAAACAAGAGGGCATGAAGCTGCCTGGAACCCTCTGGGAGAGAAACCAGCTTTTCAGCTTTGTGGCCTTGCCACGGACCACTGGGGCTTTCTCAACCACCCATCCTACCCGACTTAAGCTGCTTGCTCAGTTCCTGTTTCACAAAGAAATAAGGAAGTGAAGAGATGGGCCGGCCTCTGGGCAAAGGCTAGCTGGGTAGGGGTTTGGGGAGCACCTCCCCATCCTGGCTGTGACGAGCCATGAGGGGCAGGAACGGACAAGGAGGAAACAATTGCTACTGAATCTTTCACATTTCTTTTTTTTTTTTTGGTGCCAAGAGTGCCCAACCACTGATTTGAGGAAGCAGCCAGTGAGTTGGTAAAATTCACTGCTGACGTGGTTTAGCTGGCTGAAGAGTAGCCAGCCCAGCCCCTTCTGAGGTCCCAACTCATACACAGCTGGAACCAGTTGACTGGCAAATGAGCAAAGGTTGACTTAGTTATTTAAAAAAATGAACTGTTAAGTGATTCACACCTGTAATCCCAGCACTTTGGGAGGCCAAGGTGGGAGGATCGCTTGAGGCCAGAAATTTGAGACCAGCCTAGGCAACATAGAGAGACACCATATCTACAAAATAAAAATTAAAAAAAAAAATTAATCGGGCATGGTGGTGCATGCCTGTAGTCCTAGCTACTCAGGAGACTGAGGTGGGAGGAGCGCTTGAGCCCAGGAGTTCAAGGTTATAGTGAGCTATGATGGCGCCATTGTACTCCAGCTTGGGTGACACAGCAAGACCCTCTCTCTAAAAATAAAAAACAAAAAAACAAAAGGACGATTTGTGTATGTACGTATCTACCTATCATCTTACCTATGCACTTTTCTATTCGGATTTGAAGCTTGAAGGAACGTAGCTCAACACTGCCATCACCATTGTTGTCATAGCTGTGTGACCTCCAACAGGTCTCCTTGGGTCTCAGTGGGTCATTAGAGGCAGTAAGGGAGTGACAGAAGCACACACTGAAAGCAAGAGCGGAGCCATTGAAGAGCTGAGTCAGTATGCTGCGATTTAGTCCTTGCTCTGGCCCCAACGGACTGTGTGACCTTGGGCAAGTCCCTTCCTCTTCCTGGGTCGCTGTTGAAGTTTCCCCATCTGTACACTGAAAGGACTGCACCAGGGTTGTGTGTGTGTGTGTGTGTGTGTGTGTGTGTGTGTGTGTGTGTTTGGTCATGGAGCTCCTATTCAGGATTGGCTCTGGAATTTTGGGGGCCTTGTGCAAAATGAAAATGCCCGGTGCCCCTTGCTTAAAATTATCGAGAATTTTGAGACACTGACAGGCAAGCATTAAACCAAGCATGGGGCCCTTCTAAGCACAAAGAAGGAATGCACAGGTCCTACACCCGTGAAGCTGGCCCTGCAACTACTTCAAGTACAATTTTATGGGAAGCCCATCAGGGCTACTTCGTGCAGCAGCTGTTTTCCTCGACAGCCCCTGTGGTGTTTCTGAGGCATCTCAGGCTCCTGGGAGCATAGTTGGAGAGACATAAACTAGATGTTTGCTCCAGAACCTTTCTAGTTTCGACTATTTATATATAAAACTTGGATCCCAGACCTTTTTCTTACCTACCTGCAAAGTTGAAGCTGAGTTGAACTCGTGCTGGGCAAATAACAGCAATATCATTTCTTGTCTGTGTGGCTTCCTGGTTTAGAGTGCTGCCACATCCGGGTCTCATGAGCTTCTCACTGTAACCTCACCAAGAAGGCAGTATGGGAGATTCCAGAAGGGATAACTGAAGACCAGAGAGAGGTGACTTGCCCAAGGCCACACAGCTGGCACAAGTGGGACTCAAATCCCAGAATCTTAACTCCTAGGAAAAGGGGCTTTTCCACATGGCCCACTCCCCAGGCAATCAGCAGGCGAGGAGAGGTTTGCTAAGCCCCATCCTCCAACATTAAAACAAAGTACTAGAGCCCAAGGGGACAGTTCCTAATGATCTTTCATTCCTAACGATGTCACAAGAGTCCCTGTGTATCAGCCCTGGTGTATGTGCCCTGAATGTTTTCCTGCCTGACCTAGAGTTAACCCCTTAAAGTAGGAATGGTCAAGGCTGGCCATCTGGGTCCCAGGGGAGGGAGGAGCTGGGGTGACTGTGAGCCCTCGTTCCAGCCACGTTCCAGGGCTGGGTTCTTCCTCCCAGAATGGTAAGCTGGAAGGGGCAGTTAAGGGGAATCAGATATGAGGTGGAGTCCTGGGTCTCGCACTGAGGAAAAAAGCACATGAGCTGCCTCGGGCCAAAAGGCCTGTGTGAGGGTGTTGGTCAGGTGCCTGGTCTTGCCACCCATGACCTGCCAGAACCCCAGGAGCAAGTGTCAGCGTACAAAGGGAAAGGTCTGGCAGGGTCTGGGGAGGCATTATGGTGTGGATCTGCTTCTCACCAGTGGTGTGATCCTGCTTGAGCCTCAGTTTTCCCATCAGTAAAATGATGAAAGCCATACCACTCGCCCTTTATTTTATTATTATTATTATTTTTTGAGACGGAGTCTTGCTCTGTTGCGCAGGCTGGAGTGTAGAGGCACGATCTCAGTTCACTGCAACCTCCGCCTCCTGGGTTCAAACGATTCTCCTGCATCAGCCTCCCGAGCACCTCGGACTATAGGTGTGTGCCACCACGCCCAGCTAATTTTTGTATTTTTAGTAGAGACGGGGTTTCGCCGTGTTGCCCAGGCTGCTCTCAAAATCCTGGCCTCATGTGATCCTCCCATTTCAGCCTCCCAAAGTGCTGTGATTACAGGAGTGAGCCACCACACCTGGCCAGGACTCGCCCTTTCTTGAGAGTGGATTCTAGAGTCCTCTGACTGGTTTAAATCTGGCTTTTTTCATTTACCTAATGAAAAAAGTGACTTAGAGCCACTCTCTATGGGCCTCACTGAGTTCCCTCACTTGTAAAATGGGAATAAGTAAAGGCCCTTCTCAGAGGTTGTGAGGATTAAATGAGAAGATGCATGGAAAGCTTCTTGCATGGTGGCACATAAACACTCAGTAAATGGTAGCCATGATCATGATGATGGTGATGATGATGAAGGTGATGATGACTTTAATTCTATTAGTAGTCCCTGTCTGTGTGGGGTTAGCAGGTGAGGGAGCAAATGACTTAGCAAACAGAGGCTCATCTTTGGGTACTCAGTAAGGCTTGGTCAAGGCTGGGGCCTCTGGATGCAAGCATTGGTGATGGTAACCATCACAGGTCACCCTCACCCTCAGCAGACTAGGCCTGATGGTTCCAGGCCAGGAGACTTTTCTGCCTGGTGCCTTTGCCTGGCACCCTGCACCCAGAACCTTGGGTCTTTCCTTCCACCAACTGTGCGCTGCTTGGCAAAGGTGCTAGCCCCAACTTTTCTGGACTACATTTGACAAGTTTACCAGTGTAGGGCTCCTTTCTCTCCCCTCCACAAGGTTACAATACCTTTTTAGCACAGGCTGGAGGTTGGCTGATTGGGCGTGGTGTGCACGTGCATCTGTGCACATGCGCACACATACTCACATGCATGCCCCCACACACACTCTCAAGCCCACGTGCTCCCCTGCTGAGCTTCTAGGAGCCTCATGTCCCCACCCCCACTGCACCCTCTCTTCTTCCTCCCCCACCACAAAAGCCACAGGTGACAGCAGTCTCTGGCAACACAGCAGACACAAGGCAAAACCCAGAGGCAAGTGTCTTTGTTAGACTGTTTTAAACGTCTTAGCAGGATGTGGACCCAGGTGGCTAACGGCCAATTTGGCCGGAGCAAATTCTTCTCACCACAGTGGGTTCAGAGAATGAGGAGAGGGCTGGGAGGTGGGCTCAGGGACTCTGCATGATGCTGAAGGGTGAAAGAGCTGGAGTGCCGGTTCATCTGGCCCCATCAGCTCTCAACCAAATGTATGTGTCCTTGGGCAAAACCCATCCCCTGTCTGAAGCTCAGTTTTCCTGTCTGTAAAATGGAGAAACCAGATACTGTCCACACAAGGTGAAGGGGCATCCAAGAATGTGGGAGGATTTAACAGCATTGTAGCTGTGGCTGCACTTTGGAAAGTTCAAAGGGCTCCTTGAATGCCAGGGAAGTCTAGAATAGTGACGCGCTCCGGCTGCCCAAGTTTGTTTTCCAACCTCTGGTAGAGTCATATTCCAGAGTGCCTCGCCGCATTCCCTCCTACTCCACAGCCAAATTCCTGTGGCTTAACTCCCTCTGCCGTTACTTGGCATAGAGCCCACCCAGGGTTTAGGAATGATGGGTTCACATGTGGGGGGTTGCTGTTTCATGCCCTGACTGGGTGGGAAAAGCTCTGGCTATACCCAACAGGTGGTGATAGGTTTGGACTCTCCTGGGACCATGGCACCCTGGGGTGGTAGGGGCATTGCTCTCTTGGGGTTTTGTTTGGCGGGAGGGGAGCAGCTGTAGCAATCTGTGTTAGGTTATAGGTTAGGCCTACTGAGATCACAGGAGAGAAGAGACCAGCTGGCTCTCCTATCTCGGGGCCTGGGGTTAGGAGCCCAGGGTGCAGTATACAACCCCGGGGTGCAGGGAGGTATCGTCTGGGGCCAAGAAGCCCTGTGTTCCTGGGGCCTGGTCTTGGAGAAGGAGGATGAATGCAAAGGTTTCCAGGTGATGGGCCAGCAGGGACCCTTGGGGTATGTTCGGTGCAGGGTGAGGGCATCTAAGCAAGGGAGCCCCCCATCTAGATGGAGGGTTACCAGGGTAGTCTGGAGCCTCTAGACACTCCAGCCGAGGATGGCAAGAGTGGAGACCACTAACACAGAGGCCCAGGAGGTGGTGTCCGGGGCCCCGGCGGCCAGGGGCTCTGTGTGCTGTTGAAGCCACTTGAACTCCTCCAGCAGCTGGCGCCTCTGCAGCTCTGGACCCACCTTCTCCCGGATGGTCTGGTAGTAGCGATTCAGGTACTGGAGCTGCGAAGGATAGAAGGGGTGAGAGCCTCTCCAAGCCAAGCTGCCAAGAGGTGAAGTCTTGGTGACACCCAATCCCCTACTGTGGTACTCCAGCTGTCACCATGGTCCAGATTGCCACAGGTCCCCCACCATCATCAGGACTCAGGAATTCTCTGGGGCTTTCCAGAGGCAGTTCCCCTCGGTGGCTGTTTCATGTCATGGTGATGTTCATGGGCGGTGGGGTGGGTAGATTTCAGGCCCGGTAATGGGAGTAAGCTGGGCAGGCATTCTTATCCTCCGCTTACAAAATAGGAGACTGAGGCGAAAGAATGGAAGGGATCACTTATAGTTCCAGGCCTTGTAGTGGCTGAGCTCAGAGGCCCAATCTCAGACCCCTCCAGTTATTCACTACCTGGGGTTGGGCAGGCTGGTCTGACTGGAAAGTTCTAGAAGCTCTGGGGTCTCTGATGAGCTGGGGAGGAATGCCCTAGTGTGTGTCTGCAGGTGCCACCAGTGTGGACCCTCCTGGGGGAGGTGAAGGGACAGAGGATGTGGTGGCAGGTAGCAGAGGCAGGAAAGGCCCAGGGTCAGGGAGAAGGCAATGCTGAGGGGCACTCACATGCTCAGGAGACAGCAGGCTGACATCGATGAGGTTCCGGTCATAGGGCACAAATGATACCACTTCAAAGGTCAGGTAGCTCCCTGGGTACTGGGAGTCCACAAGAGAAGGCAGGTAAGCAGGACAGTGAGGGAGGAGGAGGAGCTGGGCTGAAGGGAAGGAGGGAGCACTCCACCCAGAGGACACAGGGAGCTGGGCTTCATCAACCCTGGACACTCTGGGTAGATCTGAGCCTTCTAGAGTCCCTTCTCTTCGCCAGCCCCCTTGTCTGCCACTTAGTGCTCCACCTTTGGTGCTTCCCTCCTGATTCTGGAAATTTAGACTTGAAGTATGCACATCAACAGCACTTAGGGAGCATGATAAATATGCAGATTTCAGGGCCCACCTCCCAAACCTACTGGAGGCAGAATCCTTAGGGCAGGGCCCAGAAATCTAAATTTCAATTATTTTATTTTATTTTTTTGAGATAGGATCTCCCTCTGTTACCCAGGCTGCAGTGCAGTGACGTGATCACAGCCCCCTGCAGCCTCTACCTCCTGGGCTCAGGTGATCCTTCTACCTCAGCCTCCCAAGTAGCTGGGATTATTGATGGGCACCACCACACCCAGATAATTTTTGTATTTTTTGTGGAGATGCAGTTTCACCATGTTGGCCAGACTGGTCTTGAACTCCTAAGCTTAGGTGAACCGCTCACCTCAGCTTCCCAAAATGCTGGGATTACAGGCATGACTCACCATGCCCAGCTGATCTGATGGTTTTATAAGACAGTTTTCCCTGCTCTTGCTAGTTCTCTCTTTCCTGCCACCATGTCAAGATCCTTGCTTCCCCTTCGCCTTTTGCCATGATTGTAAGTTTCTTGAGGCCTCCCCTGCCATGTGGAACTGTGAGTCAATTAAACCTCTTTCCTGTAAAAATTACCCAGTCTTGGGTAGTATCTTTATAGCAGTGTGAGAACAGACTAATACACCAGTTTCTACAAAAAAAATACAAAAGTTAGCTGAGCATGGTGGTGTCCATCTATAGTCCTACTTATTTGGGAGGCTGAGGTGGAAGGGTGGGAGGATCACCTGAGCCCAGGAGGTCGAGGCTGCAGTGAGCTGTGATCGTGCCACTGCACTCCAGCCTGGGCAACAGAGTGAGACCCTGTCTCTAAAAATAAAAGAGGTCGGGTGCGATGGATGGCTCACGCCTGTAATCCCAGCACTTTGGGAGGCCGAGGTGGGTGGATCATTTGAGGTCAGGAGTTCAAGATCAGCCTGACCAACATGGTGAAACCTCGTCTCTACTAAAAATACAAAAATTAGTAGGGCATGGTGGTGGGCGCCTGTAGTCCCACCTATTTGGGAGGCTGAGACCACAAAAGATGTAGAGGAGAACCTCTATCAATTCATTTATAATCTCAGGGTAGAAAAGAGTCTTTCTGTGCAAGACCAGAAGCCGTGAAGGAAAAGATTAATAACTCTGACTAAACTAAATAGAAAATGGAAACAATGCTTATGGAAACAATGCCATAAACAAAGCCAAGAGATGTGTGACAAATATAGCACATATCACAGAGAGAGGGTGAATTTTCTTATTTACCATGAGCTTTTACAAATCCATAAGACAAAAATAGGCAAAACAGGAAAAAATAGCGCAAGGGACATGAAAAGGCAATTCACTAAAATTAACACCAAATGGTCCACATACATGTGGAAAGATGCTCAAGTCCATCCTTAAAGAAATATAAGGCTGGGCGTGGTGGCTCACGCCTGTAATCCTAACGCTTTGGGAGGCCGAGGCTGGTGGATCACCGGAGGTCGGGAGTTTCAGACCAGCGTGGCCAACATGGTGAAACCCCATTTCTAATAAAAATACACAATTTAGCCGGTCATGGTGGTGCGTGCCTGTAATCCCAGCTACTCGAGAGGCTGAGGCAAGAGAATCACTTGAACCCGGGAGGCAGAGGTTGTGGTGAGCCAAGATCTCGCCACTGCACTCCAGCCTGGGAGAGGGAGACTCCATAAAAAAAAAGAAAAGAAATACAAATCAAAACAACAATAGCATACCATGTTTCGCCTATCAGATTGGCAAAAATTAGTGACTTTGGTGATTCTCAGTGCTAGTGAGTATGTGAGGAAATGGGCACTCTCACACACTGTTGGAGAAAGTACAACCGGTGCAACCTTTCTGGAGGGCAGTTTGACAATATCTATCAAATTACCTATTAAAAATGCTTGTACTTTTTGTCTCTGAAATCCCGACGCCAGATATGTACCTTCTGGATATAGTCCCAAAAGCTCACCAAGATGTTTATACAGTGATGTTGATTTGTAGCACTGATGGTAAATATAGTAAAAATTTGGAAACAGCCTCAATATCCACGGCTGGTTAAATAAACCATGGGACAGCCACATACTGTTGTTGTGGCTCTTCCACAACCCTTAAAAAGAATGAGGTAGGTCCCCCTGCGCTATTGTAGAGCACTCTTCTAGGTTTACTATTAAGTAAGGGGCAGCCGGGCAGGAAAGGAAGATGCAGAAAAGTATGTATGGTAGAATCCATTTTGTGTGAATTTTCAAAATATATACATAGATAGATACATATGCTGTGTGTGCCTGAAATATTCTCAGGAAGGAAACTGAGCAAGAAAGATACTTTTTTCCCCTTCTCTTCTCTTTCTTTCCTTTTTTCTTTTTCTTCTTCTTTTTTTAGAGACAGAGTCTCGCTCTGCCAGCCAGGCTGGAGGGCAGTGGTGCGATCTCGGCTCACTGCAACCTCCACCTCCCGGGTTCAAGTGATTCTCTTGTCTCAGCCTCCAGAGTAACTGAGATTACAGGCATGCCCTACCATGCCTGGCTAATTTTTGTATTTTTTAGTAGAAATGGGGTTTCACCATGTTGGCCAGGCTGGTCTGGAACTCCTGACCTCAAGTAATCTGCTCACTTTTGCCTCCCAAAGTGTTGGGATTACAGGTGCCTGGCCCTGATTTGTATTTTTTTGTTTGTTTGTTTTGAGACAGAGTTTTGCTCTTGTTGCCCAGGCTGGAGTACAATGGCATGATCTTGGCTCACCGCAACCTCCACCTCCTGGGTTCAAGTGATTCTCCTGCCTCAGCCCCCCGAGTAGCTGGGACTACAGGCATGCGCCACCGCACTCAGCTAATTTTGTATTTTTAGTAGAGATGGGGTTTCTCCATGTTGGTCAGGCTGGTCTGGAACTCCTGACCTCAGGTGATCCACCTGTCTCGGCCTTCCAAAGTGTTGGGATTACAGGTGTGAGCCACTGCGCCTAGCCTTGTATTTCTTTAAGAATGAACTTGAGCATCTTTCCACATGTATGTGGACCATTTGGTGTTAATTTTAGTGAATTGCCTTTTCATGTCCTTTGCCCTATTTTTTCCTGTTTTGCCTATTTTTGTCATATGGATTTGTAAGAGCTCATGGTAAAATAAGAAAATTCACCCTCTCACAATGCCATAAACAAAGCCAAGAGATATTTGTCACACATCTCTTGGCTTTGTTTATGGCATTGTTTCTATAAACATTGTTTCCATTTTCTATTTAGTCAGAGTTATTAATCTTTTCCTTCATGGCTTCTGGTCTTACACAGAAAGATTCTTTTCCACCCTGAGATTATAAATGAGTTGATAGAGGTTTTCCTTTACATCTTTTGTGGTCTCATTGCTCACCTTAAAACTTTGGTCCATCTGGAATTTTATTTTGGAGGTTATTCAGTTTAATCCCCCCAAATGATTAGCCATTTGTTCCCCCTGTCCATTTGCTGAATAATCATTTTTTTCTTACTGTTTTGCAAAATCAGCTTTCTTGTAAACTAAATTCCCATGTTGTTTATGGAAATAAGAGGGTTTATTTCTGGACTAATTGTTCTGTTTCATTGTTACAGCTGTCTATTTCATCTCCAGTGTCATACTATTTTAGTTGTGGTAGTTTGTGTTCAAATTTGAGAGAGCTGGCTTTTCTTATTGCTTTTTTTTAGATGGGGTTTTGCTCTGTCAACGAGGCTAGAGTGCAGTGGCGCAATCACGGCTCACTGCAGCTTCAACCTCCCTAGGCTCAGATGATCCTCCCACCTCAGCCTCCTGAGTAGCTGGGTCTACGGGTACATGACACCATACCCAGCTAATTTTTTTTTTTTGTATTTTTCGTAGAGATGGGGTCTTGCCATATTGCCCAGGCTGGTCTCAAACTCCTGAGCTCAAGCAATCATCCTGCCTTGGCCTCCCAGAGTGCTGGGATTATAGGCATGAGACACTGCACCTGGCCCTGCTCTTCTTTTTCAGAATTTTCCTAGCTATCTACGCATGTTTATTTTTACAAATAAACTTTACTATCATTTTGTGAAGTTACAAAAATATCCAGTTAGCATTGGAATTGAGGTTGTGTTGAATTTATAGATTAATTTAGAGATAAATGATATCTTCATAATATTGAGGCTTCTCTCCAGAGAGCACCATTTACTTAAATCTTTTTTATGTCCCTTAGTAGAGAGTTTCTCCATGTAAGCCTTTTTAAGTTTACATCTAGGTATTTTATCTTGTTGGCTGCTATTATACAGAATCTTTATTTCTAACAAGTTCCCCTGGCGATTATTATGTGCATTGAGAACCAATGATATAGGGCAGGGATAATGATTCACTTGGTCTGGAGTGGGGCCTGGGCATGGGCATTTAAAACACGAGAAAGCTCTCTGGGTGATTCAAATGTGCAAGTGAGTTTGAAAAGTCTGACTTATGGAATTCCTAAGGAAGACTCCAAATAAATTCATGCCTGCACACTAAATGTCCTTCTCCTTTGATCTTCCTTCCCAAACCTTTCCTCCCATGCAGCCCAAAGTCACTAACGTGCTGCCCACACCTCCAGCCCATCCTGGTGGCAGTTTACCTTGGTCTTTGCTTCTACCACGAGAGCCACGTCTTCGAGACGGATCCCAAATTCTCCATCCTTATAGTAACCAGGTTCTGGGAGACACAGAGATGCTGGTGGCATTAAGCCGGGAGAGGGTCCAAGCCCAGGCTTCCTGTACCTACTGATGAGTGGCTGGAGGGACTGGCTGCCTGGCTGTCCCCTGGCTGTTCCCTGGCTGTTGATTCTGGTAGCCCCACAACTGGTTAGATGCTTGGCTAAGCAGAGGCAACTCATCCCTGTCAGGCCTCAGATCCCCTACAGGGGCATCTGTGACTCACCCTCTCTTCCCTGTAGCCCAGCAGGGAAGACCTAAAAACCCACTTGGGTCCTGAAGGTACTCCCATCTCTCTGGATGCCACTGTCCTGTTACTCCAGCATTTGGCAACTCCAGAGTCCGGATATACCACTGGGTCTACAGCCATACCACCCTGAACGCGCCTGATCTCGTCTGAATATATAGCTGGGAATCAACTCCCAAGGGCAAAAAGATGGTCTGGGCTGAGGGGAGCTGGGGTTAGGGTGGGACAAGTCATTTGGGGCTGGGTGTAGGGGTGGGAATGGGGAGGTGAGTCCCGAGCTGTACTAGTGCCTGCTGTGCTCCTCTGAAGGCTGGTATACCCTAGACTGCAGTTCTGGGCTAGCCCTGCTCTGGGATGGGGTGGTGAGGTAGAGGGGCCTGAGGGCCATACCAATGGAAGTGAACATGCCCTTGGCCATGGCGATGTTGTTGGACTGGAATCCCACTGGCCCTAGAAAGGAAGACATAAAGATGGTATTAGTTATCCTATACTCACCAACTTGGAAGTGAGCAGCTTCCAAGGAAGAGCAGGTAAGTGAGGATCCCGGAGCATCTCTACGAGTACAGGTCCATTACATCATTGTCTGCCTGGGCCTGGCACACACCAGATTGGCTCTGGCTTTTATTATTTATTTAGGTATTGAGGGGGTCTTGCTGTGTTGCCCAGGCTGGAGTGCAGTGGCGCCATCACGGCTCACTGCAGCCTTGACCTCCTGGGATCCTCCCACCTCAGCCTCCCGAGTAGCCGGGACTACAGGCACATGTCACCACACTTGGATACTTAAAACATTTCTTTTGTAGAGACAGGGTCTTGCTGTGTTTCCCAGGCTGATCTCAAACTCCTGGCCTCAAGTGATCCTCCCACCTTGACCTCCCAAAGCAGTGGGACTATGGGTGTGAGTCACCACATGCAGCTGGCTCTGGCTTTTATTTCTCTGGGGTCTATATAAGTTAGCCACTAGACTTTGACCCTCTTTCTGGTACCCTCTGGAATGCCAAGCATCCAGCAGGACTGGCCTGCTGCTGACATTCCTCATTTACCCTGTGGAGCTGGGTAACCTTGGTTAGATCATGGCATCTTTGTGGGTCTTTGTCATTTCCATACCTGTGAAATGTTCTACCTTCATAGAGAGTATAATAAAAGTGGGGGGGGGGGGCGCTGGGGAGTGCTGAGGAGACACCTACACTCATGCACACACAGGAAGTTGCCAATGCCGTGGCCTGTCCCGTGACCATAATTGAGCCCGGCATCCCACAAGGCTCTGCGGGCAAAGGCCTCCACCATTCGCCCTGGAAGGGAAGAGAGATTGACCCCAGTCAGCTGGCTTTACCGAAGACTGTCCACCTTGCCCCTTCCTGCTCCACTATCAGAGTGGTGCCCAAGAAGAGGGGCCCCTGAGAGGCCGCTAAGCATGCACTGATGCAATGATGTTGGGTTGGGATGGAGAAGGGCTGATGGATGGAGTTAGTGGTTCCCTCGCCAGACCAGCCCATCACTATCTCCAGCTTACTGTACATTGTATCCATTACCTGGATTGATGCCTCTACTATAATTTCTCCCCATCTGTCAGGGCTTTGCACTTTGACACCTAATTCCTCTAAGAATCCTCCCATAACTGCTGTGGCCCACTGATGTCTCCCACCTCTGAGCAACAGTGTTAGATTAAGAAACTTGAGTTCAAGGCCTGGGTCTCCCGCTAACCTTCTGTGTGACGTTGGGCAAGTCACTTTCTCTCTCTAGGCTGGATTTTCTCACCTACATAAGGGATGGGATGATGACAAAATCCTTGCCCCACCAGCCTCCCAGGGTGATGGTCTGAGTCCTGGTCCTGTGAAATCAGGGCCTGAGGCTGTGTCCATCCTGGTTTCTGAAACCCACCTGATGTAGCAGCAGGAAAGATGAGCCTGGACAAGTCAATATTTCCTATCAGCACACGGGTGTACGCCTCCTGATGGGGAGAGGAAGAGGTGATGTGGAGGACGGGAGGAGGAGCCAGGGGAGTTTCCAGTTGCTTGGCCTGTGGATACATGGTGCAGGGCCCAGGCCTGGGTGTGTGTGGGCAGGGTGGGGGGAGTTGCATCGTCATCTGTGGCTGCCCGGGTTCTGGAAGATGGCCAGCAGAGACTGAAGAGGGCCTTCCCAAAGCTGGGGCTCCATCACGTGCTTCTCTATGGCTGGTTTATGAGGGTCATTACAGTATCTACAGGAGACACTTGGTGACAGTGAGCCGAGGCTGTGACTCCCTGGGCTGAATCCTGACTCAGCCACTCACTCTGAGACCTTGGGCAGGTGACTTTAACTGCTGTGTGCCTCAGTTTCCTTATCTGCGATGGGAAGATAACAGGACCTAGCTCCTAAGGTTGTTGGGAGAGGCGGGCAGACTAATGTACAGTAGGTGCTGCCAACAGTGCGCATGCTTCGTGGAAGGTTAGCGCTCTCATTCCTGTGGTTGTGACGGCTGCTGAGTTTTCTTAAGGCCTTTCATGAGGGTTGAGGTTTGCTGACTTGGCAGCTTAGCCTTCCTCTGTCAGGGGAGGGAGGTGGGCTGACAGTGGCCTCTTCTGGTCACTTCCAGAGGCGATGTGGTCAATCCCCATCACCACACACAGTGCATAGGCTTGTCACTTTGTGCAGGACAGCCAGAGGCAGCAGACTCTGCCGCTAAACTGTGAGCTCCTGGAGGCCTGCACAGCATTTTGTTCCTCTCTCTGCGTTTCCAGCACAATGTCTGCCCCATAGTTGGCCTGCTACATGCAGCACGACGGCAGCTCGCTGCTCCACCCCCAGGGCCCTCTGGTGTACAGAGACAATGCCTTTGCCTCTGCCCCAGCTGGCCAGCCTGAACACCTCTGGCTCCTTTCCACTGTGAAGGCTTCACTTGTGCTGTTTTCCTCCACTTGGGATGCCTTTCTTTCTTCTTTCTGCTGAGTATAGGGCCAGGCACACAGGCAGCAACAAAAAAATATTTGTGTACTGATTTACCAGAATAGGACGAGGCTCAGCTTGGGCTGAGGCCTTGTCAGTGGCCTGAAATATCCCCAGGGAAGCAGCAGGGAGCACTGGGTTTTCTGGCACCATGTATGACCTTGGGCAAACTACGTAACCTCTCTGTGCCTCAGTTTTAGCCTCTGAAATGGAAGGGATCTTGATTGCTTGGGTGCTCCCCTTGAGGGAGGGTGGAGAGGGGAAATCTGGGCCCATGCTTACCTTCTGGAAGGCAGACGGGGTGCCCCAGTGGACTGTTCTGGTGATGTCTGTGGTCCCGTCCCTGTGGAGAAGGAAAACCAACACGTCCTGCTCTGCCAAATGCCTGGGGCTAGTGACTGGGGCCATGTGCTTTCTGTGTGCTTTCCATAAGTGGCAGGGCTGGGATGGGATGCGTGGACGGCAAAAGGAAGAAGACAGCTACCATAATCAAAATCACCTCTTCAGTGCCTATGTGTGAAAGGCCTCTGCAAAGCTATCAAGTTAAAAGCCACTAAGTTGTCTGACAAGTGTGATTCCCTGCCCTACACACTCCTCCCCCATCGCACTCATTTTGGCTGTTTTGTAGATCTGGGTTTCCTTGGGTCTGGCTGGTTCTCAAAGCAAGGCTTCTTCCAGGTTTCCTGGGAGGCAGAAAGGGGATTGTCCCCTTTTTACAGCTGGGGAAACTGAAGTCCAGAGAGATTATGTTATCATAACACTCTCATATTCAGATAGTTATTGACCATTTATAGGACGCTTTTGCTGCTCCCCAGGAAGAATGGCAGAGGAGGCCTCATTATCCCCATTTCACAGATGAGGCCATTGAGGCCATGCAACTGTTTCCCTCTCTGAACCTCAGTGAAGCCAGGCCTAGAGGAAGCACTGCCTCTCCACGCAGTCCTCTCCATGGCAAACACAGATCTGACCCAGTGATTTGCTGAGTTCCATTGAGGTGAAGCCTCAGCCCCAAGGTCTGACTCTCAACCCTCAGCTGCAGCAGTTGCCACAGGATGGTCCCTGTGATCACGCCTTGGTGAGGGAGAGGGGAGAAATGGTCCCAGGGCCCTGGGGCTCCTCCTTGGGTCATAGGGTGTGGTGGCCTTCTTCTTCACAAGGAAAGAAGAGGAAGTGAGGTGACTATTTCCACGGCCTCACCCTACTCTGAACACACTTCATTCCAGCAACGCCCCCACAAATTCACTTCCCCTTTGCTCACTGGCCATCTCAAGTACACCCAGCATCAAACTCCTGACCAGCAAAGGCTGCTAAGCTGAGCGTCTGCTACTCCAGATCCCCGAGAGCTGTGCTAAGAATAAGCAAAGAGCCTCTGTTGTTAGCACATTCGCCATTTCCACAGGATAGACACTGGGAAACCATTTGAAACTACTCCTTGCTCCTCCATCAGTTCAGTGCGGCCCTTCTTTTGCCCCACCCCATGCTTCCCACAGTCTACTTCCTTCCTTAATGAGAAGGGAAAATCTTTCAGGTCAGCTCTGCTCAGCTCAACTCTGGTGTGAATGATTGGTTACACGTTTGGAAGGAATAGGGTTAGCCTTTTTTTTTTTTTTTTTTTTTTTTTTTTTTAACAGAGTCTTGCTCTGTTGCTCAGACTGGAGTGCAGTGTCACCATTGCGGCTCAGTGCAACCTCCGCCTCCCGGGTTCAAGCGATTCTCCTGCCTCAGCTTCCCTTGGGAAGCATGCTCCACCACACCCGGCTAATGTTTGTATTTTTAGTAGAGATGGGGTCTCACCATGCTGCCCAGGCTGGTCTCAAGCTCCTGACCTCAGGTGATCTGCCTGCCTCAGTCTCCCAAAGTACTGGGATTACAGGTGTGAGCCACCATGCCTGGCCAGGTTAGCCTATTCTGCATGGCTGTCATGTCTGAGCATTCAGGTTGTACACCGTACAAGGGTAGCCCATTGAAAGGGTTGCTTCTCTCATCTGCCCCCACCTCCACCCTGAACAGTGCCATGGGGAAGAGGGGGCTGAGGAGTCTGCATGATGTTGGTGGTGCAGGGTTGTCCAGGGTGTGCACGAGTGGGTGACAGTAGGGTGTATGTGTTTGTGTAGCCAGGCAGGGACATTGAGTATAGTTGCTCAGACTGTGTAATAATACGTGGACTTAGAAAACATTTTACTTGAGGCTTGGCATGGTGGCTAACGTCTGTAATCCCAGCACTTTGGGACAGCACTTTGGGAGGGCAGGGCAGGTGGATCACCTGAGGTCAGGAGTTTGAGACCAGCCTGGTCAACATGGTGAAACTCCATCTCTCTCTCTCTCTCTCTCTTTCTCTCTCTCTCTCTC